CATTACATTCACTGGAACACTGGAGGAAGACGACTACTCCGTTCCTTTGGACACTATCGAAGCTTTTAAACGAATTCGACATGGCTTTTCAGGAAATGATCGTCCAATTTATATGCTATATGGCCCTCGTCAATTCGGGAAAAGCACGATTGCTCGCGGCATTGAAATGTTGTTTTGCGGACATCCGAACATCATATCCGTGTATTTCGAAGTTTCTAAAGAGATGGCACGTAACGCCGTCAGGTTCTGGAGCTACTTAGGGAAAATGGTTGACGCGGAAAGCGAGTGTCATGATTCGACTTCGCTGTTGATGCAAGTTACAACGTACGCAGGTCGCGAGAAAAAGAAGTTGTGTCTGATCGTGGATGAAATGGATCGTTTGTTTCAGAACCCCGATTTGTTAACCAGCTTCCTGGGACTTCTTCGGATGTGGAAATTTCAATCGCCGAGCGTCTTCCTGGGATTTCTTGGGGTTGGAAATTACGAGCTGCTAAATCATAACATGGTGTATCGCGGCGATGATGACTCAAGCCCCTTCAATGTTTCTGAAACGATTAAAGCTGAAAAATTATCAATTCTTCAGATGAGTGACTTCTTTATGGAGATGAAGCCGCGTTATCCATTTACAGCCTCACTTGTGGTGGGAATCATGGACCTTTCCGGTGGGGTGCCCGGTGTGCTGGGATCACTTGTTCGATTCACGGCTGATGAAGGTAAATATCATCTTGAGCTCGAAGCATGGGAGAAGTGGTTCTCTGGATTGCTGTTTCCCATGTACCTGAAAGAGTACAATCGAAGCTATTATCGTATTCTTCAAGATCTATACAAGCTGGATGACACCGAGTGGTGATTTCTGGAACAGTTGCTGGAGGAAGAGAACAGTTCCAAGGCAAGAAATCCCAGATTGCCTGTCTCCATTGTGGAGAGTGTGGTAAGAATAAGAGGCACTGATGAGGTGGCCATTGTCTCGCCGATGATGAAGCGATTGTGTCTCGAAGTGCTATCCAAACAAGATATTCGTGAGCCATGTGATAATTCGCAGAGTTTCAATTGATAAATAGAGGGGTTGCTAGTCTGAAAACGTTGTTACGCTCTTCATTTTTAATCCGGTTATATGATGCCGATTTTTTTAAGCTGTGTGGCACCGTGATTTAGTCGCTTGCTTATTCTGTAAAAATGTACAATAATTTTCCAATGCCAAACCAGCTTAATCTAATGAGAATTTAGAACATTTTTACACATTTTTCTGTAGGACACTTCAGCGACCTGGG